GAAAGCAATTGTTTTTATTTAATTTTATTTGTTGAATAAAGTCATACAAAAAATAAATAAATACATATAAGAAAGACTAAATATATGCAATAAATTAAAGGTAACATTTGTTACCAAAGAAAAAAACAACGTATGTTTTGATAATATCCTCATGATTATTTTGTGCACATTGTGGTGCACCTTTTTTTTCTGTATTAGTATTGTATAGGTGTGCGAACGACGAATGAGAGAACAAACAAAACAATGGTTATCTTTTGGGAATATGATTTGTCGTCAGTAAAATGAATGAAGTGATTAAGAAAAATATATATACAAATGGACATTGTAAATATTGAATATTCAGTACGAAAATGATCAACTTTTTTAATAGAAATCAGTGAAAAATTAAAACTACATCAATAAAAAGTCCAAATTGGATCAGTAAAAATGTAAATTCTATTCATAAAAGGATTAATTTAGTACAATAAAAATAAATTTAAATAAATTAAAAAAACAACAGAAGAAAAGACAAGAAATCCAAAAGTACAATAAATAGAAGCTCAACGATTGAACGAAAAAAAAGAAAATGGAAGTTTAATTATTGTACTAACAAAACAAATTAAATGTTGGCTGGTCTACTTTTTTCTTTTCACATCGAGTGACGCTGCTTTTGTCGCTGCTAGTGGCTTTCAATACTTCAAACGAATGGCCATACAAAGAACGTGTTTGTATAAAGAATTCTTGAGAAAAAGCTGGACAGTTGCATTTTAATGTGTTCCAGTTTGAATCGTTCTCCATTTTCATACACTAAATATCGAATGATTTTTGAATTGAGTAAAATTTGTTGACTTCTTACTTTTATATTTATCTAAATCGATTTGTATAATCGATTGTCAATCGCGAGCTGGTATATCATATGTTTTTGAAAAATCATGGGAAATACTAATTCAATCTTTGGTTGATTTAGCCCATTGATACGTTAAAGTTCATAATTGTAAAGATATTGTTGGTTTTATTGCAAATATTTTTGTGGTGATTGAGGAAGAATCTCGTTCAAATGACCAATTATCAATAGTGTTTAAATCTATTGTGAAAAACTTTAGAAAGCATGACATTCTCTAAATCTTCCATCATTTTTCATTCTTTTATTGCTTGCCTCTAAGGCGTTGTTTGTGCTTGGTGCATACAGTTGTATACATTCAAACCAACCATCATTCTATTTGAACATATCATTATCAAAATAACAACAGAACTCTAATACTAATTGGCTTTTGTTTGTTGTTCATGTTCCATTTCTTTATAAATAGTATTGGTGCTGATTTGAATACAGCTGTAGCATTGGATAATTGAAGCACTTTAATTTCTTCTATCATTTCTTTTCTAATATATATACATATATATATATCATCTATTAGAATCATACTATAATACATTTCGATTTTTATATTTACCATTTAATTCAATTTACTGTTTTTTTTCGATTTATCATCAAGTCTACTTATTTTCATACCTGATCATTTAAATAATTTACTGATCGTTCATCCAGTTTACATATCATTAAGTGTTTTACTGACCATTTCATTTATTCTACTGACTACTTAAATGATAGCCTAAAATTTCTAAACAAAAAAAAAAAAACGTATGTTTTGACGATATCCTCATGATTATTTTGCGCATATTGTGATGCACATTTTTTTTTCTGTATTAGTATCATAAAGCTGTACGAAGAACGAAAGAGAGAACAAGCAAAACAATGGTTAAATTCCAAACAAAAAAAACAAGATATGTATTGACATTATTCCCATCATTTTTCGCGATACGATTGAATGCGCGAAGCAATACATATTTTTCAATGTATATATAAGTAACATTATGCTTTAGTTTAAAGTACACAACAACGTCGATATATTACAGCGGTATTATTGTTCTGGACAGACAAGATTCTCTACAAATCCAACGAGTAAATGTATGTATTTGCGAAACTGTAGTTTCTTTAGAAGATCTTTTTAGTAATAAGTATAGAGGGGATTTTTCTGTCCTCAAGTAGTGACAATAACAATGTATAGTATTCTTTTCCTACGATGGCAGTTAACTTTCTTTGTATCAATTTGCATCTAGAGGAATGAAGCTCTTGGATTCAAATAGGAATGCGTAGCTAGGGAAAGGGAGCCTCAGAATTATTCACCCATATTTAAATGTATATAAGTCTCTATTTTTCAGATGGAGGGCTGGGCGGTATAGGATTTTTGAAATTTATATTTATATATATATATAAGACACTGGAGAAGCAAAACTAAAGCAACTAATCTCTATTTCAGAGATAAGTGGCCGTGGGCAATTTTTGATTAACTTTTGATAGGAACAAGCTAGAGATCTGCGGTTCTCACCGTTGAAAAGAGCAGATGAAGACGCATCGAACCATACATGGAAACATTTTTAACGACTTTCCTAATGGTTTTAGTCAAACGTTTTCAAAGAATTGCTTTTTTTCTCCTACGTTAAAAAAGTGATTTTTCCATGAAAATACTACAAAAACTTGCATTTTTCGGTTATTCTACTGAAAAAATGAGGTGATAAATTGTGCTTCGATGGTTTGAATATCTTACTGTTAGTGGTCAGGGATAGAATTTTGATATAGTTTTGTAGCTCTTTGTCTGACGGTTCTAGCGTACTCTTGGAAATCGATAAATTAATATCGTGACTATGAAAGGAATGCTATTTTTCTTGAAGTTTAATGTAAAACCTTTAGGAAATCTGTTAAAAAATCTTTCCATATATGGTTCGATGCTTCTTCGTCTGTTCTTTTCAACGGTGAAAACCGCAGGTCTCTATCTTGTTCCTATCAAAAGTTAATCAAAAAATGCCCAAGGCCACTTATCTCTGAAATGGACATTAATCATATATATGTATATGATTAGGTAATGGGTAATGAGTTGATCAAGAATATTTATGTTTTTTTTTTGGAATTAGTTGTTAGGGCAAAAATTTCGGCTTTTGTCAATGACCTACTCATTATGAAGGAAAAATCAAATAACGATAACCGGAAACTTGTCAGTTGTTTTTCTTTTCTTTGAATTTCAAAACTGCTTGTTTCAGATTTAGTTTAAAAAAACTGAATCTATAAAAATCATCTAATAACACATAGGCCTTTTTTTTTGCTATGTTCAGAAAGTCAAAGTATATCATAAATTATTTTCATTAAAAATCAAATAATGTTCATCGAATGTCGATTCACTTGTCTGAAGACTGAAAGATGATGAAATTTTATGTTAGTAAAAATGTTTTTAGAATAATCAAAATCGGATTTGTGTGATCTGGTAATTTCTTATAGATACATGAGGGTCATTGAGAACTGTATGAAAAGTTTAACTATTGATGCTACTAATTCGCATGAAATATTATCAAAAAAAAAGCTTTCTCTGTTTCATATCGAAAACTTTGTTACGACTTGTGACGAGAATAAAAAGACCATATTGCAATAGAGAATCTAAATCGTTTTGGAGTTCGAGATTCATATTGTAAAAGTCGGAGACCAATATTCGAGTGAATGTCTTTAAAGAAAAAGCTGTCAATGAAAAATTTCAATAGTGAAATCAGAAAACTCTGAAAAAATACAAAAGACTCAGGTTTTTGCATTTCATCTTCCTTTGTTAGTGTATTTGACACAGTGGACCTTTGAGAATGGCAGAAAATTTTGACATAGATGCTATTTTCTGAAAGATGATTCACTTTTTTCGGCACATAGCCTTGTATTCATTACCTACAAATAAGAATTCTTTATATCATTGATTTTATATCGTCTATCTGCAATCACTCTATTCATTGAATATTCAGCAATCTTCATTTGAGTACGACGGACTTAGAAAACTCACACTCGATTTTTGAAAGTCGACATATTAGTATTGGACTAAATTAATCTTGAAATCAGATACCTGAAAAGATACGATATCCAGTTGATAATGGTGTAGATTAATTTTTAATGGATCACTGATATCTCTAGTTATAGTAAATGACATTCGAAGCATTGAGATGCGCAAGCGATAGATTGATGTGAGTTTGAAACTACAGCACCAAATACCAATAAAAATTTTAAAAAAGTACTTCATTCAATCTCATGAAATAATCGAACATAAAATCAGATGAAGCATTATAAAGAACAGAAACTGGAATAGGACTTGAAAACTATGAATTCTAGAGTATAGAGAAAGAAATACTATAGGATTGCCAAACCTACTTCGCAATCTGATAACATATTAGTACCCAGATACACGTGGATAGAAAATACGAGGAAAAGTGAATTTAAAAATGGATATTGAATGAAAGTATTGAAACCAACCTGTCATCGATACGAACATCGATATTTTGGTTTTCATTACCGTTTCTTATATACTAGAATCTATAATCTAGGAAATCTGGGAGACTATTTTGCAGAAACCTATTCAGAACATTTCTTCACATGGAACATGTTATTATTGTCGTAGGAGAAATTATTTTTTTTTTTGAGTCAAAACAGAGACAATGCCTCGCGACATTTTCTGTGATTTCTGATCAAAATAGACATGCATCGATAAATCGCAGTAAGATAGAGAGAAAGATATGATCTTTTTCACTTATATCTCTCATTTGTGTCTACATTTTTGTTTTCACCAAAGATAGAAGATAGCGTAGGATTTTTTTTCTTTTTTCTTATCTTTTGTGCATTGAACAATTTATTGTTACAGCAAGAAATATCTAAGAGTATATTCTTGTGTGTATCTCTTCATTTTCCCGTTCATATGCGTTGCTGAACAATAAGTCATAATGCTCATCGTCTGTAGATAAAATTCTGATGAGATCTTCATTCTTCTTTACTAGTTCTTCTCTTACAAAAAATAGTTCTTGTTGATACACAACAAAAACAAAATTCCACTAATCATTTATTTCTTTGTTTTCATATTATTTTCTTGCTATAGATTCCAAAAGATATATTTGATATCTTGAATATATTCAAGCAATCATCAACAAAACGATAATTCGAAAATATGAGTCAATATATTGAATTGCAAGCCCGACGCGAAAACGCTCGTTTAGTGATCCCGGATTCCAAAGATCCAAAAGCAGTTGATCCTATCACCGGCTATGCTCAAGAACCACTTCTCCCGCTTGCTACCGCATGCACACCATTGATTCCTATTATCTTTAATATATTACATTATGTTTCGATTGCTCTGGAAAACACTCCACATTATCCATCAGATGGTCTGACAAGTGACGAATCAGCTTCGATTTATCTCTACACCATGGAGTGGAGTGGTGGACATAGAAGTCTCTATACTATTCTCAATGAAACACTGAGAACACCTGATCGTGAACAATTAAAACCGTGGTTCAAGTACTTAAAACTTTTACTGACTGCTTTGGTCAAAATACAATGCGCATCTCAACAGACGGTTTGGCGTGGAATACGAAAAAATCTGAGTCCTGAATTTCCACGGGGAACTCAAGTGATTTGGTGGGGTTTATCATCTTGTACAACAACGCTTCCTGTATTAGAGAATGATCTCTTTTTGGGTCAGGAAGGGACTAGAACTCTCTTCTCCATCGAAACTTTCAACGCTAGGAATATACGAAATCATTCGTATTTTGCCAACGAGGACGAAATGTTATTGCTGCCAGGGACATACATGGAAGTGCAATCACAATTCAATCCGGCACCTGATCTTCACATCATTCATTTGAAACAGATGGTACCAGACAATGTGTTGCTCGAACCTCCATTTGAAGGTAGGCTGGAAAGCTAAAAGATAAGAAGTCATAGCATGGCTGTTGTAAAAATTATCATCTGATAGTATTAATAGACTTAAAATTTTAGAGCTTTTAGCTTCATTCAAGAGTCATTGTTAACCCTGTAACACAGCGAATAGCTATTTGTCAAACTCATAGACGATTTACATGTCGTCTATGTGTTCATATCGAAGACTTTCTATTGTATTATTATCAAATGCTCAGATTCCATGCGAATTGTGCGAATGCTTCTTCTTTTAGAAATATTATCTTGAACTGTGATCATTCTGACAAAGTATTCTCCACACTTCTTTGATATAGTATGTCCTTGTCCATCTCACATATGTCGTATGACATATTTTTATCTGTCTCTCAATTACATGTTCTGTTCTGTAGCTAGGTGCATATAAGTGTCCTATGATTATAAGTTATGTCCATGAAATAAGTATGAGTTTCTCTTGGAAGTTCAGGAAGCAGAAAATTCAGCCGTTGGACTGGTTTTTCGATTAACTAATAAATAGCCTCAAAAGGATAAAACAGATTAACCTCCGATCTGTAATATATAGCTGGAGAGGATCATTGAGCCTTTGATAATGTTATGATGAATCACGATTGATGTCTTATTCATCTGCATGAAGGGATGAAATAGTAATCACCATAAAAGAAAAATACCGAAAAATGAAACACGTGCAGAAAATCCAAACAGTCACCTACCCAACAAATTGTAATCTTCACGTTATTTTGACAAAATGAGCTTTCGTTCCTGATGGTAGAGAAGAGTTCCAACTGCTTATTCCTGTGTGAAAAAAAAGTAGTAACATTGCTGAGAAGTAGTATTATCTATTCAAAACTTTCTGCCTTCTCAAAGGCTTCACTAAACCCTCTCAAATGTTCTTACAAAGAAAAATTCTGATGAATTCGCGTAAGTATAGTTAACTTTTGGTAGGGTGCGTCCATGAACTATCAACTATAAAAATGCAAAACGTATCCGAAAGTTTTTTGATAGATTCCATTCTGCGGAGGCTTTTTCGCTGGCCATTTCATTGAAAATATCTTCTATGTTCATAGACAAATAGAGATGTTGGGTTAAATGACTCCTGACCTATGAAGTTCCAGAGAGATTTGTTGCTCTTCAACGATGTGAACCTAGTGCCGTCATTCGTCGAAAAAATAGAGCGTTAATTTTGTTAAAATGATCAACGAAAAGTGCTTGACAAAATAATTCAGATACTTTCACTGTTTGGTAGTAAACCACTGATGTAAGTATCTGAAAAAAAGTTAAAGTCTGCATTGAAGCTTGTAGTACTAGATTTAAAATGTGTCAATAATTCGTTGATATATGAATAAAAACCTTGGAACTTTTGCGAATAGTTTGGAAACGTAAGCTGATTCAATGAAAATATGAAGGAGGCACACAATGGTTTTGCTAAGTAATTTTCCGCACACCCTATAGGTTACATGTGAATACTTGATGAACCTTAACGACAGTGGTTTGACGTCATATTGTAGTATTAGTCACACTTGAATGAAGTCGAAAGTGCTACAATTTCGTTTCTAGCAGCTTTTCTCTGAAGATCACTATTTACAGCAATCAGTCAGCTTCCTTTATATTGTTTTATGCCTAAATCTTCTGTTACTAACAATGGAAGTGTTTGTGCTGTCAAGTAAGGAGATTAGACATATTCAGGCAAAATTGAAGCTCTGACCACCAAACTTACAAATTTTAAAATATAGGCTGCTGTTGATGTGCGCCGACCGACATATTAAAGTTTTAAGGTATGTACAGTTCGTTTCGGATGGCCACAATCCTAAATTTCACCAGAATTTTTTCTTCTGTTTTCTTGATGAACGGACAGAGCTCTTCGACTTACATTAGTAACAATATGTTTCATATTTTAGAAAAAGATTCAAAAAAACTTGTCAGTGCGGCCCCATGAGGGGCCGAAATGTGGAACTCACAAACTCTTAGCGTTATAAATTTAATATATATTGTCAAAGGTTTTAAAAGAAGTTATTAAAAAAAAATACTAAACAGATGAATAAATCAAAATTATAACAATATTTATAGTTGATACGCGCGCTCTGAAAGTTTATTTTGTTGAAACTGTTCATATTTATTACTTTCCGATCAGATTATTTGATTCATTTGACATCGTAATATTGAAAAAAATTATTTGTATTGTCATATACATCTTTGGTGCATAACTTCTATTCTCTTAATGATAATATCTACACGATGCATGTCACACGAAGCAGCAGATGTAATTTTATTGTTCGTTTCATCGGTTCAACTACTATATTAGCCTGCTATGCATATTTATTTTATTGCTCAGTAAGCTACCACGCATATTATTCTTTCTCTCGACTAATTTTCGTATACAGTGTTGAGTTTTAGCTAAAATTAGAAATCAATTACTTCATATTTTTTAAGTGTCGTCTTATTCATAGTCTTCTAGATGGAAAATACCAATGCTTTACTCACTAACACCTAAAATAAAATCTTTTCCCTTTTTCACAAAGCCGTTAGTGTAATCCCTGTGGGATTAAAACGCGAAACGCGATCTGATCGCTGTCACTGACCACATAAAAATGATCTCACTCGATCCATTTATGGAATGATTTCTTCATCATCCTTTTCAGAATCCTCTAGAGCTGCAATAAAGATATAGCTCATACATTCTTAGGAGGTCTTAGTGATATGGTACCTATACTAGTCTGCGGATGCCGTCTGTCGCGATTTGTAACGGTGTCCTAAGGTGTCTGTAACGACCTGTAACAGGATCTCAATGTGCCTATGACGGTCTACCACGGCTCAATAATGGTCTAATAATGAAATATTAAACATTATTAAATATTAAATATTTTAAATATTAAATATCAAATACTCTAAACATTAAATATTGTAAATACTAAATATTAAATAATAAATATTAATAAATGAGAAATAATTAATATTAATAAATGCTAAAAACTATTAATTATTAATTATTAATTCATTATTTTAATAATTAACTGATTAATTAATTCGTTTGTGACGGTCTGTAATGGGGGAGCTCGTTGCTATGGAAACATATCCAATAATATGTGGTTTCGCGCCATATGGTTGCTAACGAGCCATAGGAAAGCAGCCAGTTCTTATATTCCTCCGTAGCTAGGGAAATGCAGCCAATGACCTTTGATCCCGGTTGCTAAGGTCTGTAATGGTGGGAGCCTAGGGGGTGGGTGGGAGGAAGGCGCAAAACCTCGATTTAAAACTTACACTCACTATTTTCTTCGAAAATATATGTGAGTTCCACAAAAACATACGAAGGTGAGCATTTCGGGTCTATTTCTTATTATATTTGGACATCATAGCAACTTTAACTTTTTGTCTAAGATTTTTTAAATCTCTTTTGGAAATATGAAACATATTTTTTCTACTGTCACTCAACGAGCTCTATCGTATCATCAAGAAAACGGATGAAGAATTCTAGTGAAATTTTGGATTGTGACCACCCTACATACACTGTATATATATGGAAACTTGAATATCTCGGTCAGCATACACTAAAAGCAGCCTATATTTTTAAATTTGTAAGTTTGGCGGTCAGAGTTTACATTTGACCCAAATATGTCTAATCTCCTTAACTGACAACACAAACAACTTCATTGTAAGACATGTTGAATAATCTAAATGGTTTGTTTTAAATTGAAATATTTCTATATATAGGTGCATGTCTTTATCCAAAAAATCCTGAGTAAGTCTCGACATATCTTCATCTAATTGTATTTTTGACGCAACGTTTCATTAAATATCCAGACGTCGTTGGTATAACAAGAAACGATTCATCATTCCAATTAGCTTATTGGCAGCTATAGTAATCGTAGCAGTTGTTCTCGGTTCTACTCTTGGATCAAGGTCTACTCATAATGCATCAGGTATGCGTTTTGATTTTCTTTTCAAATCAAAGACAAACCAAAGACGGGTGACACTTAAATCTCAAAGCTCTGATCGTTTCTTATTAATTGAATCATTTCTATACAATCTGTTATCTTTCCACTTTTTCGTATGATCTGACAGAGTTTTCAGTTATTTTTCGAGCACACCCCAATTATTTTTTATTCTGTCAAAACGCCATCAAGGCTTAAACTGGAAACAGTGAATGATGTCGAGTCCTAATTCGTGAAGATCGTATGCATCTGTTCATAGATGACATACTAGCATTTCTTGCGTCAAGTTAGGCGTCATTTTGTACAAGCAGATGGACATATTAAATATATTCTAAAAGCTACTATTAAAATATCTATCAAAAAAAAATATCTAGTTCTTAAAGAAAGAAAGAGTCGAGGAATCAAGAAAAATATGAGAAATAAATCTAGAAAAATTTTATAACATCTGATTTCACTACATGCATTTTTTTCTAGATGTTTCGCTTTCAAGATATTGTCTAGATTATTTTGCTTAAATGTTTCACATAAATATCAGTATATTGTCATAGAAAAAGGGCTTGAAATTTGTTTACAATTAGGAGAAACGTAGTCGTATATTACTATGTGCTGTATATCGATTATAGGAACATGGAGTAAATCTTTTTGAGAGGACAGTAAGCAATATGTATGATACCAAGATTTTGCATAGCTTTATTAGTCTCAATGAGTAGTACTGGTATAGAAAAATAACACTAAACACATGTAGAATAGTGAGAATTTAGCCACACGGGATTATGTGCAATGCACTTTTCATAAACTACACAATTACCTGCGACACTTCTATAGGAAAACTTGAAGCAATATTAAACCTAAAATGGGTAAGGTTTTCCTGAGAGACAAAAACGTACAAATTCCATTCGTTACGGTACTTCAACATAGTTCAAGAGTGTGTCAGATTGATTCTTCATAATCTCTTGGCTATGTCAATGTCAAGTCTAATCTTGAATTAAATCGCATGAATACAGGTTTGAACTAATTTTATATGAGCCTGTCCGGTAATAAAGCGCAAATACTTTATTGTGCTTCATTGATATTCAAATGTTGAAGTACAATCAAATTTTGGGGTTCTAATGCCAACAAAGAATTATATAAAATGAACTCAAGCTAATATGCTGATGACCAATGTTGATATTAGGCTTCGTATAGCTAAACAGTTCTAAAAGATAGATTTGACATACCTTTGGAGTACAATGAAGTTTAAGTGAAGTATGGACTTCTCGCTTTTTCATCATTATTAGCTTTCTTGAGGTATCTAAATGCGAAATGAAAATAAATAGCATTACAATAAATTAAAGTTTTATCCGATAACGGAAAATCAACTGCAAATCCGGCAAACAATTCTCTAGTTGATTAAAGGCACAAATTCTTATGTAGCGATCGATATACATCTTTTCGAGTTCCTGCATGTCGTTTTTTAAAGAATTGATTGTAGACATGTTTTCGTTGTCATATGAAACTACAAATGTACAGCTCATGCTGACGCTCATGAATCGCTCATGGACATCAGCGTTTCTTCTATAATTCGTATGTGCAAGCTGCCTTTACGATTCAAACCATTTTCACCTATATTCATTAGGGCTATAAAACTCAAAACCGTGAATTGTACGAGCAAAACATACTGTTATTTGAGCCATATAAAAGAAGACTTCGAAAATTTCTGAGCGACTCGTATGGTTCTATTATTTGGCTAGTTAGATTTTAGCAGTTTCTTTCTTCTATTTTAAGGACGAAACATAGTGTTGTTTGGTCTAATGAGAGGGATTTTGTGGTTCTCCTCCATATGACCCGAAGAGCAATATGTTTTATCCTTACAATAGCTAAGAAACAGCTTCCTGGCATCTGATTGGTCGATAGTAGAAGTTTACAGTTCACATTTGTGAGTGATCATGAGGTTGAGCTCTACAACCCTAACGAATATGAACAAAAATAAATTAAATATTAAAGGCAACTCACATATTCGAAGTAAAGAAGAAACACTGATGTGAGCGTTGGTGTAAGCTCTACATTCCTATATCCAACCAGATATACTGATGTCAATGACTATTTCTATTAGAGAACATGTATTAGAATAATTCTATTAACAAAATATTCATCAAAACAATCCCAAGAAATTTAATGAACAAAACTCTCCCCATATGCTCGAGACCACAATGCGATTCCGAATAGTGCATGTGATATTACAAAAGTGAATCTGTCACTATTTCTCAAAACCTTCCAGAGTCGTATACGACTACAATGGAATCAACAATATCTATAGCATAGTTTGCACAGTTTGGATTTCCCATGAACTACATATAACAATCTGGACTGAGTAAACTTCTATCGAATAATGAATAGATCTCTCTTGCCGCTACGTAGATTGAAGCTTATTCAGAGATCAATCTGCACGTCAAAGGCCATATTGTGGAAGTGTGACTCCACATAGAAAAAGAGTTATAACGCCTTGTGCAGCTACAGCGATTGAGAATCTATTTTCTTCCAGCATTATGGACTCAAGTAACTACTTAAAGTTCATAAATTTAAAATGCGAGATTTTAGTTTTTCAACAAAATGAAAGTTCTGATCAGCTATATATCAATAAATCCAACCTAAAACGATCAAAAGTTCCACTAGTGTTATATTATAATACATCCTATCACTCTATCTGCTCTGTTGTTAACATCTAGGTTCAACTGAATCCAATACATTCAAAAAAGGAAATATCTCTTTTAAGTTAAATCGATCTCTACTCAGAAAACTATTTACTTTTCTCAATTATTATAGATCAGAGATGCTCAAGTTTTGTACGAAGAGACCAATGGGACATGCCTGAAAATGACATATTACCTCCTCCTGCACAACAACCTGATTATGCTAGCTGTTGCTCACAGTGTCAAGCAACTCCTGAATGTATGGCTTTTACGTATTCGCCATCAAGTCAACAATGTTCGCTGAAAACAAGTATCGGTAGTAGTGGAAACCCAACTGGTGATAAAATTTCTGGATATAATCGTGAGTGTATCAACTCTCTGTTAAACAGCGCCGTGTGGTCGGCAAGAAAAACTTCGCAAACAAAGTTCCTCCGTCGAAGTGTACTGGATTATTTGAAAAGAATTTGAGAGAAAACTATACTCTGGATAGCTTTCTTCCGATACATTTTTTGACGAAAAATTTGTACAAGGAACATCTGAAAATCTTTCCTTGTTGATGGGAGGAATTCCCGTCACTCAAAATGAGAATATAAAAAATAAAGTTTTGTCTGTTTGTCAGTCTTATGCGTTTTCAATCAGAATCTATTGTTTCTTAAGTATAATCAACAGAAGGAGCTATCATTGATGAGTAAGCGGAACGTAGAGCCACTTTACAGGTTGATTGATAGTTTTTTCTTCTCCTTTCTTGCAGGCATATCATCCAAGAAAACAAATTAGGCGCTTCTTACTCTTTCTTGCAACAAACTTTTGGTGAATTGAAAAATGAAATATTGTTTTTTTTTCTGTTGTGAAATAAAGTTGAACGGACTAGAAAGGAAGAACACAATGAGAAAGCAGAAAAAATGAAAATATTTTGGTTGAGTTTCAACCTGTTCTCTGCATCAAGAAAGGCCATCCTCGTATATTTTTACCATAGAGTAACATGAACTATAATGCCACTTTCCTTCAAGTTTTCAGAACGCAATCCAAGAATTTGACACCAAGACCCTCAACTTTTGCTGTTTTATCACTCACGAAAATTTGCTAATATTTACAAGTCATGAGGAGTTCAGTAAGGACAGAATAGGAAAGAGTAAAACACACATTTGAGAAAAAACACAATATATTATAGAACCACAATTAATGTGATGACTTTTTCAAATCCTACATCTGCACAATGAGTACTGTTATCATTATTCTCTTATTTATCTTTTCACAGCGAACAGTTGTAATGGTTTCGTACGTAAAAACGCCTGGAACATATCTGGAAATGAACTATTATCTCCTGTACGACAATCCGATTATGCTAGCTGTTGTTCACAATGTCAAACAACTCCTGAATGTATTGCTTTTACGTATTCGCCATCCAGTCAACAATGTTCGCTAAAAACAAGTATCGGTAGTGGTGGAAACTCAGCTGTTGATAGAATTTCTGGATATAATCGTGAGTGTATCAACTCTTTGTTAGAAATGCGAGAAAACTAAACTTTGAACAACTTTCTTGTGAAATGATTTCCAGGAAAAGTTTGTATATGCAATGTCCGAAAATCTTCCTTTATTAATGCAAGAAATTCTCCGTAACTGAAAGTTAGAGTCTGAAAGATTTAATGTCTACCTGTTTGCCAGTTCTACGCTTTTTCAATCAGAATCTATTGCTTCTTAGATATAAGCAATAACAGGCACTTTTCATATTAATTGTTAGTTTTTTCTTTTTCTTTCTTACAACAAACTTTTAGTGAAATGAAAAATGAAATTTCTTCTTTCTCTGTTACGAAACAAAGTTGAATGGGCAAGAAAGGCAGGACAAAATGAGAGAGTAGAAAACGAAAAAAACAGAATATACAATGAAAACGCTCTTGATGAGACTGCAGTCGCGCCCTCACACCCAGCAAGCGTAGCTTCATGCAGTTGTATCACTCAGTAACAGGAACTTTCATGCTATTTTTCTTCACGTTTTCGGAGTCGCTACTTCTGATTTGTGAACATTAAGAAAATTAGGTTTAACGAAGATATGTTTTAAATTATTAGTTGATTTTAGCTGGACAACTCCACTAATTTTCTCTATAAAAAATAAATTTGATAATTAAACTTTTAAAGATTTCATGAAGGAGAAGCCATATGGGTAATAAGTGAGTTAGAAAACTGAATAATAACTTATTTTTATATTAA